CACGTTTTTTTGGTCAATTTTTCAAAAATATTTTTTCTAAAGTTTATTTAAAAACATAATTTTTATAAGTATTTTTTTATTTGATTCTAAAACCATCTACTTTGCATTTGTTTCTATAAAAAAATTTCATGATATTTCTTTATTGATGATATTTTTCATTTTTTTACTTGTCCACGTTTTTTTGAGCAATACTGTAAATCTAATAATATTTTACAAAATATTAAAAAAAGATTAGATAAAATTACGGGTTTGAAATTTAAAAAACATAAATTAAAGAATTCATTTATAAGTTTAGAAAAATAATTTTATAATTTTATTGTGAATTTATTTGTTTTTTTAAATATAAAAGATGATGAAAAAAGATCTGATAATGATTTTAAATTAATTTTTGAAAATTTTAAAGAAAAAAATCTCAAATTTAGTAAAGAATTGGAAATTTTTATTAAAACAATAGTTTTATTAGAATCAGAATTAAAAAAAATAAAGAAAGAGAATAAAAAATTATATATATTTTAATTTTCATATAACTATTTGTTTAATAATAACATAAATATTTTTTAATATCAAAATTAATAAAAAATGTTTTAATATCACGGTTAGTGAAATTTGATAAAAAATTATAAAATCTAATCTATAAATATTTTATTGATTTTTAAAAAAATCATTATACAGCAAATAATAATTAATAAAAAAAATGTTTGTTTTAAGCAAAAATATTAAAAATCAATTTTAAATAATTTTTAAAGAAAAAAATTAGTATAAAAGACATTAATAAAATGAAAAATTTTAAGTTTTAAATTTTATATAAAATGAAAAATTTTTATATTCTATATAATCAATTAAACAAATGCTACACATTAATAATATTATTTAAAAAATTATTGTTCGCTGAAACAAATTCTTGCTAGAGTTGTTGTTTGACTCTATGTTAACTATGTTCATCCTTATCATTTAAACCTTCTTCTGTTGCTAGGTCCTTTTTATCAATACTGTCAGTGTTTATAAATCTTTACTAATCATTTTACTGATAATTATGGTTTAATTAAAAATTTTTTTAATTATAATTTTTGATAGATTTGACATTTTATTTACAATTTTGAATTCATTCCACTAAGATAAACTGTGTTGAGTTCTGGTGATAATTATAATTTTAAATACATTTTTTAACTTTAAAAAGAAATTAAATTGATAAATTAGTTTTATTAAAAAAACAACATTTGTTATTTAAATATACATTTATTTTTAAAAAGAAAGAAAATTAAGTAAAAAATATATTTATGAAGATTTACTAAAAAAATTATCAAAATGATTATCAAAATTTTTGATAAAAAATCATTTCATTTTTTTCTACCCTTAAATGAAGTTTTTTAAATTAATAAGATTTGTTGTAGGAAGTGACTTAGAAAAAGTTGGTGATAGTAGTGATAATGAAAATAAACCTCTAATTGAAAAGGAATTAATAAAGCAGAATCCAATTCTAGAGAAAAAGGAAATAGATTTAACTAATCAAAGAACTGAGATTACTGATCAGAAATTAAAAAAAGAAGAAATTTCACAGTTAAGAAAACAACTGAAATATTTAGAAATTAAAATTAAATTTTTAGTAAATGAGAATAATAATAAGAGTAAGTTAATAAGTGAAGATGTTTATTTTATAAGAGAAGGTAAAAAGAAATTAAAAGAAACATGTGTGTAAACATGTGTGAAATTAATGTTTAATGTTATGATATGCGGTTTATTTATTTACCATTTATTAAATTAGTGAGATAATTGTTTTAAAAATCTTATTTTATTGATATCAGAGATTAACTATCTAATTTTAAAAAATAACTAAAATTATCTAAAAACATTTACATTTTAACAATTATATAAACAATACAAATTCTTTTGAATGAATATTCAATTATAAATTAATTTTATAGAAACATTTTTAATCAACACGAGTCATAACTACAGTTTGCAACCACCATTAATAGTATATAAATATTTTATTATGAAATTGTTTCTTATACACTAATTAGGTTTTAAAAACAATATTTTTTGTTATTTAAGTTTTGTATTAATCAAGTATTAAGATTTAAAAACATTATAAACTTATAATAAAATAAATTTCTTAATCAAATAATTAAATATATTAATCTTTTTATTCATTAAAAACAATGTATAATAAACTTAATATAATTACTTCTTTAAATATTAATAATTATTTAACAACAAGTTTTTAAAAATTAGTTTTCTAAAATAAAGGAAAATTTTTAACCCTTTAATGAATACTTTTAAATTGGTAAGATTTGTAATAGGAAGTTGCATAAGAGACGGTTTTAATGAAACTAAAACAGAACAAGAAGTAAATAATCTTAAAGAAGATAATGATGCATCGGATAATGAATCATCAAGTGAAGTAGATGAAAATGGAAGTTTATCAATAAGTAGTCATAATGAAGCTGAATTAAGAAAGTTAATTGAAGAAAATGAAAAGACTTTTTTTAAAAATAAAGTGGAAGAATTAAAACTTGATAAAAAATTAAAAGAAATAGATAAGATACAAAATGAACTTTACGAAAAAAATAGATATTTTTCTAATGTACGAGAAAAAATAGAATATTTTAATTTAATAACAATCATTGTTGTAGGAATATTTCTTTGTTATTGGTTTAAATAAACTATTTAAATAAATTATTTATCTTTAAACAAAAAGCGGTATTCCTTCGATTGAAGCCTCAAACATAGTTTGGGGCCCCATGAGGAGGAATACCAGAATTATTCGATTTGGGGCCGGGCGCCAATTGGGGTCATATTATATTTTTATTAAAAAAATTAAAAAGTTAATTAAATAAATGTTTTTTAAAAATATTTATTTTTTTAGTTAGTCGAAAAAAATTTTTATTAAAAATAAAGGATTGAACATTTTTATAAAGTAGTTTTTAAAAAATATATAACATGAAAAATTTTTACAAAATTTTTACATTTTTTAAACCCATGAATTTCGAAGAATTAATAATTATATTAAATGATAACAATATTTTTTTGAATAAAATGGTAGAGTGGGGTGTGCTACCACCCAAGGATAAGTGGTGATGTATATATTACAAAGGACTTACAGTTCTAAGGACGAGAAGAAAGAAGTATTGTGATAGCATATTCCTCTGTTGCAGACCCTACAATAAAGAGTAGTCTCTTTTTAAAAATACAATCTTTTCCTGTGAAAAGAAGGGTAAAAGCAGGGTTGCAATACCAGTTCAAAAGATAGTAAAGCTCATCTTTTGTTATTTTAAAGATCAGCTTTATCGTGAGATGAAATTGAATTCAGGACTAACAAGAGATGGGATAATTGTTAACTGGACTAATTATGTTAGAGAAGTAACACATTGGATTATTACATCTAAACAAATGGGACGCGAAGGGTGTGTAATTTAAGCAGATGAATTTTATTTGGTGGTCATCGAAATAATAATGTCAGAAGACTTCTCTTCAAAGACTTCTTAAATTGAACTTAAATTTTAACAAGAAAAATAATTATAGCGACAGATTTCAAAGTTATAGGTTTTCAAGTTTAATGATGATAAAAACCATGAAGTTTACATGCAGGTTGTAAACAAGTGAGATACAGAAATGCTCATTCATATTTTAAAAGAATGTGTACTCTCCACTCAATCATTCATACGGACTGCTTGAGGGGTTAGGCAAGATCAATGAAAACTTCAAAGAACACTTTACAGTGAATCATTCGAAGTTTTTTATTGACCAGAAGACTAAATTCCATACTCAACTAATCGAGAGTGTGTGGGAGAAAGCCAAATTATCTATTATGAGAAACAGAAGGGGGGACTACATTAGAATTATTACAAAGTCATCACTCTTTCTTATGTTTCTGTTATAGATACAAGGAGGTTGACCCTTTTGTAATTTTTATGAAATCATCAACTATGTTTAATTATTCAATTTTTAAACAATCTGAAGATGAGGATGATAATAGTGAAATTAATAAATAAAGTAAAATTTTAATTTTTTATAATTAGTGTCGTAAACGAGGTTACTTTCAATTGACATCAATTATTTTATTGATTCTTAAAACAATTTTTTTAAATTATTCTTTTTTAGTATATAAATAAAATATCCCAAAGAAAGATATGAAAATGAGAAGTAAATTTATTCCTAGACATTTCAAGCTAGCGAAAGTTACTAGTCGTGTTGGGTACGATGATTTGTTTCATATTTTAGTTAAAAGAATTATTTTTAAACATTTAAATATTTTTAACATAAAATTGTCTCTTTTAAATATTTTCTTTATTCCTATAAATTTTACTTTAAATATGTAAAAACCTTTTTCATCTTAAATTTTATTTATTATTATTTTATTTATATCAGACATATAACTTAATAAAATAATATGACTCCAATTGGGTCTAGGGCCTCAATCGAAGGAGTTCCGAAAAATCTATAAAATAACAATATATAGATAATAAAGATGAGGTTTTTATTCCATAAAATTTCATTTGAAGAAAATTGCTTAATATAACTTATAGTAGACTATGAAACGTGTTCATATGTGATTTCCCACACTATAACTTTTTTAAAATGTTGATAGATTTGCTATATTAGTAATTTCATTTAAATCATTATTATCATAATTTAAAGCTTTATAGATTAAACAAATATTATAAATTATTATTAAAACTTATTAAAATGAAAATCAAAACTAAATATCTTGCTCATTAAATTTCTATTTTTTTAGCTTTAGATTTCCAATTATCAATTAAAAATTATACTTTATTATTGATTCATTTAT